AAAAAAAAAGGGTTGACCAATCTAAAGATTCCCGTTTATGTGCCATTTTGACATGTGTGCGTGTCCTCATTGTCTACACAGCATACACAGAGCTGAGAAAGGTCAGAGGACTTCTGTGAATTTCCCAACCCTCTACAACTTCCTGCAGTTCTAGTAGTAAGAATGCCACAACACCCAGTACACCAAAATCAGTCTTAATATTTTATTTTTCATTTTTTAGTTGGACATTTTGGGTATGCATTATCATCATTTCATCTTTATTAAAAATACACACAGTAGCACCAAAATAAGAGTGCTAGGGCTTTTTCAATGCCGTCTCCTAGTTGTGCAGACTTTCAGTCAAGAGTGTTGAAGGGTTCACATTTCAAAATACAGCTCTGACCCTCCCACTCCCACAAACCACTTGGGAGCCAGTCAGAGCATCAAGCTGTTGTTTGCTATTATTGCTTTTCTGCTTCATTTTTGATGATGCATGCTTACAAGCAGACCCTCACAGAGTTCTTCTATAAAGGGGATCCACCTACCAGTGTCATGCTGATTTCATCTTTCCCCATGCTGTACACAGCCTTTCAGCTGTGCAAAACAAACTTGGGGGAAGATGAGGGGAAGAAAAGCATTAACTACATTGTTCCTCTATATTTTATTTTGCTTTGAGGAAATTCTCAGTCCCATGTTGTTTAAAATGAATCCAGCTTTAAACAGGGCATGGGGGGGGTGTTTTGTTTTTGCTGACTCTGCAAACTGATACTTTGAGTGAATTGTTTAGGGAAAGCAGAGAAGCAAAGAGTCCTTTATTATGTCTGTCACTGCCAAGTGATTTGGCAGATTCCTTCATGAAATGCACTATGTGATAGGTTGAGAGAGAGCTCGACTGGCCAGTCACCAGCAGAAAAGCTCAACTTAAATACTTTTAAAATCTTATTATGGCCAATTTGTGGTTTTGGCTGAAGAAAGAGGATGAAAAATAGAGGCAGCTGGGTGTCAGTGAGGGATGGAATATTGAGGTAACTTTCATTACTGTGCCACACAAAATCCACTGGTTTTGTACGTTCATTGGATCCAGCTAAGGCAAACACAGCCACTGGCTAGGTACACCTGCAGAGGTGGTTTCATTTGTCTCAGCATTTGTCCAAAGTCAAAACAGCACAAAGGATCTGTTGCCTATGCCTTGATCTCTACACTGAGACATAAGCAATGGCTAGTTTCTCCTTGTAGAAAAATCTGTTCAGTTTTGATCCTCCCCAAAGGCCTACCTGTCCTGGATGAGGTAAATCCTTGAAATGTCTGAGTGAACACATACACAAGTTTTTGCAGACATGAATAGAAACCAGGCTAGGGACTACCTGAGCCTACAGGCAATGGGACAGCGTATGTTAACATGGTAACAACAAAATATTGTGCCATTATTAACAGGGGCATAACTCTGCCAGGTTAACTCTGGACATAAATAAATCCCTATCTACAGAAAGAGTAAGAAGAGATAATGCTCAGTAGAGGAATTGCAAGATCTAAACACCAACCGAGGCCTATTATTAACCACCATTCAAATGGAGCTGGGGTTGGGAGGGAATAGGAGGCTAATGGTTTAAACAAGGTAAATCCCACATTCCGTAAGAGAAGGGTCTTTAAATTGATACCAAAAGACAAAATGTGTATTCTTGCTCCTTTTTGGCACTTGGTTAAGAACTGGTGAAAACAGCTCTTGCCCTCTGGTTGGACGAGGGCCGAGATACCTCTACTGCAGAGTGACTGGGTGCTCAAGCACCCTGTGGGCAGGGCTGGCTGCTTCTGCGCCAAGGAGCAAGCTGTTTCTTGGAAATGTTTGTGCAATTCAGCTGTGCTGCTGCTGGAGCCAGACACTTTAAATAATATTAAAAAAAAAAGAAAAGAAAAAAAGAAAACACCCAGCCTCAGATCTCTCAGGCCGTTAGTGTATCTCAGTCAGGTTTTGCCTTCCACCAAATACTGTCAAATATCTGTTTTGTTTGGATCTGAAGGGTGGAGGGAGTTGGAGGATTGCCTTTGCTGCTGTCAGTGCTTCCTAATGATGTTTCTCGCTAGAGAAAATGAGCTTGCTTGTTTGAGAATCCAAATTCCCTGTGGGGCACAGTTAGGGAAACTGAAGATATGGGCAGGAAAATAATATCTGTTAGGGCAACATATAAACATCCATAAAGCAGAATAGCAAAACACCTACAGAGAAGGCTGTAGCTTTGCCAGCAAGCTAATTAAAGTCACTGACTAAGGAGGGAGCTGTGACAGTCGAAAAGTTAAAATAAAAATAAATCAGAAGTTTAGTCTAGCAATTATAACAGGAAATTACCGACAGAGTCAGTGCTCCTGCATTCTTTTCCTGGTTCTGTTTCCGATTTGCTGAGAAAGTTAGATAAGCGAGATTTTAAAAGTAGCTTCTAATTTGGAAAGCCTCCATTTCTAATGCCCGGCTGTACACACAGACTTCACAGACTAGCATCTTCAGTGCCCCCCTGTGCATTTGTGAGGGCAGAGCATTTCAGGGCATTGGTGTCTCTGAAGTCAACTACCAGGCCTGGAGAAACCCATAGTTACAAGCCTGCCCAAAGCAGCCATCCCTGAGAGCTTCCTGTCTGTGAATTGTGGCTGGCGCAACATATTGCGGTGGGAGTCTGAAGTTTAAATGCTCTTTATGGCTGACATAACATATTGCGGTGGGAGTGTTATGTTTAAATACTCTTTGTAAACATTTACAAGACTTCTAAGACACACTCTGTCTCCAAAGTCAGTGTTATTACTTTGGAAATAATGAACTCTGTGACCTGCACGTTTTCTGAAAGGACTGCTGCCTGGTAGGGGCAATGAAGCTGCATTCCCAGGTCTGACTGCAGGAGGAGTTTTTAAGTAGAGTGTGACTTAGAGAATCAGAAATAGCTTGCTTCTGTTCAATAACATAGCCCCAATTGAAACTGCAAATAAAGAAATCTGTGATGCCTCAGGAGGAGGGGGAAGGTCTCTCAATCATGAGAGCTTTCTTTATACAGGGTTCCTATTCAATTCCATGAGAATTTCTAAATGAAGAGAGCATGTGGCTCCTTCTTACACTGACTTGTGCTACGAGCTCCTCAGAGGCAGAACCGAATTAAGTGCCCAGAATAAGGATGTCTCCATAAATTGACATTTTCCTGCCCTACATTCATTTGCAATCTCTCATCCTTATCAAGGGACACCATGGATCAGAGGGTTACACTCTGGGTGCCTGCCAGCACTCATATAGTTGTGAAAGTCAGAATGTTTCTCATTACAGCAATCAACTTTTTTTTTCTTCTGTGCAATACTACTGCAAATACGTGTGTCCTGGTGTCAACTTCATCTTTGCAATGAGCCAGAATATTTACAGTGGCTTGTCAGACTGAGTGTTGTGAAACAAATTATTATAGATGTGATCGGATCGCTACTGATCTGATCTTTTAAAGAATATTGCTGTGCTGAGGAATAAGCATAAAAAACCCCAGAGAATGTTGTTTACTGACACTACAGAGGAGAAAAAAAAGGCCAGAGTAGGTTTGGGGTCCCCTGCTCTTCCACCCACCACATGTGGGGGAGAGCGCACTCCATGTTCCTTTGCCTCTTGCTCCCACGTGCAGGCCTGGAGGTAACACAGTGTACACCCTCTCCATCAGCCACGGGAGAGGAGTCTCAGAGCTTCTGCCAACCACCTGCTTTTGCAGCTCCCAAAACAAAAAAAAAATGCCTTCCCAGCATGATGGGTCATTTAACCTTCGTAAACTTTGTCTGGGAACCTTAAAAAAGAAAAGCTGCTTAGGCGTGACATAAAAATAAGCAACAAGGAATCCTTTGATAGGTGATCATACGACTCTGCCACTACACAGGCAAAAAAAATCTGCCATTAGGCAACAACAAACTAAACATAGTGAATACATGGACAGTATTTCAACACCTGCTAGAGACTCTGAAAAATGGCTTCATCTTTGCAGCTATCTCAGGACAACTGTATGCAACATCCTCATCTTCATATTAACATATTAATTTTTCAGGTACCTTGCTACATTTTGTTAAGTACAACACACAGTTTTAGTGAGTGAATGTATTTACAAAAAATAAACGTGGTATTTGCATAAGGTCATTGTCAACTCTACCAACTTCCCTAGATAAAAAGGCTCTCTTTAAGGGACATTTAACATTTGGACATCAAACCAGTCCATTTGAGAATCCCTTCCTGTTTCCTTCAAAAGGTAGAAATCAGTAAAACCATTTACCAAGAGCCAGAAACCAGACAAATTTAATAAAAGTTATTTTTTCCACTAATCAAAATGTCTTTCCTTCATACTCAATCCCAGTTTGTGTGCTCCCATGTGATAATCCACATACTAATGAATTGTCAATATTTAATTCTTTACAGGCTGTGCAAAGCTGAATTATTAAAAAATCTTTTTAATGTTAGGTTTCAGTGGAGAATATACTAGATTTCTTAACTAGAATTCCTAGTTAAAAAGTAGTCCTTTAGTAGTGAGCTACTCCTCCAGATTATATAGATATTACTAGCAATGTGTATGCAAGAGAGATGATCTTATAATGAAGCCAATATTAAAACTGTTGGAGAAGGTATTTAGAAATATGCCTGTGCACTATGTTCACTGCCACTAGCAAGTATTATAAGTCCTCTTGAACTTTTGAACACTTCTTACAGAAACAACTCTCAGCTTCAACATATGTACTCCTTATTAAGAGGATATGACCTTCCTGTCTACCTTCTATCTTTTGCCCAAAGCTTCCTAATTAAAAAACCCTTTACTTTTCTGCTACCCTCCCCCTCCACCTGTTTTCAGTCATTCATTGCTACTTCCCTTTGTTTTGTAGGCTCGCCCAAAAGGAGAAGGCCTGACACCATACCAGGGCAAGAAACGCTGCTTTGGTGAATATAAGTGCCCCAAATGCAAGAGAAAATGGATGAGTGGAAACTCCTGGGCTAACATGGGACAAGAATGTATCAAGTGCCACATTAACGTTTATCCTCACAAACAGGTAGGAGAAGTGCAGACCTGCTGGCAACAGGCTTGGAACTAGGAATGCTCTTGACTTTGTAAAGTGTGGGTAAGGGTTAAACAGAACTTGACATGTACTACAGCCTATCACAGCAAATGGTTTCCCAGATGAGCTGTTTGTCTCAGTCCTGGAAATCTGGAGAGGCGTCAGAGTTGCAATTTGAACATTCTTTTTTTTCAGTAAAAATACCTCAAACCCAAAATCTTTACCTGCCTTTCTTATAGAAGCAGACTGGGGGGCCTTTTAATCTGAGAGTAAAACAAGTTCACCAATAGAAATGGGCCTCCTAGTTCTTCCAATTCTCTTCATATTTATATCAATTTATTGTTTCATTCCACCGGTGTCAGCAGTTATTTCTTATGTGTACTACTTTTTTTCACCTGTTGGATTTCATCAAGGGGCTATGTCTACTTACAAAGAGCAGTGATAAAAGAGAATACAAAGATTACTCTTGCCTAAAAAATTCCTTGGTTAATAACACTAACTTGAGACAATCTCAAAGCTTACAAGGTCTCCTGTTCCTTGCCTCAGTTTAGACAGCTTGTCTAAAAAATCCAAAATCCAGGCTGAGCAATGAAGTCATTTATCACATGCATGGAACTACAGTCTTGAGGGTGAGAGAAATTACAAGATCATTGATTTATAACACAACTTGATAAATATTTACCTTGTTCTTCTAAATTCTTTCCATCATTTATGTTAATGTTCAAAGAGTCAAGAAATCATTCAAGAGGTGTCTCATGGACACTGTATAAGAGGCATTATAGCCTTGGATATGTACATTCTGTAGTAAAGAAGTTTTGCAAGTCATCAGTTGTCCAGAGTTGCCACTCATGGTAACTTATCTGCTTAGTAGTACTAAAGCCAGAGACATACTTTTGGAAGGGTTGCAGTTTACAGTGCTTCCATAAGCTGTGCTTGCCCTGGAGCTACATACATGGTGTTTTCTGGGGAATAATCACAGCATGTGCAGTGCAGGTTTCCACAGCTGAACCCCATTGCTATGTTTCCATGCCATTCCCTAAGGACACCATAACTCAAGGATGTGGAAGAGCTTTGCTCTTCTTGTCTATCCATGTGTTCCTGTCCCAACAGTAGGTATTGCAGCTATTTGAGATCTTTGGGACAAGACTGTATTTCTGCTAGGCTTCTTCATATAAATAACTTGCAGCCAGTCACTAGTGTTCTTCCCCAAAATGTGAACTTAGAACCTCAAGCTGAAAGATTTTTACATCCCAGTGTCACTGCCTCACCTCCATGTACTTCTGTTTCTCAGTGTTGCCATTGTCATCCTTCCTAGTCTTTTTCATTCTTGCAGAGGTGCTCTGTGTTGCTTCTGATTGAACATAACAGCAATAGCCTGGCAGTAAAGAGAACAGCATCAGTTCATGCAGAGCCAGCAGCAGAGGAGAGCCAACAGGCTGCAGGAGGTCTGTGCTGCTTCTTGACAGAGCCTCCTGTTTGCCAGCCCATATATGGTTTTTGTCCAAGCATCCAGTTCCACGCCAGGCTCTCTAAACATTTATCAACATTTGTGTGTGTTATTCTGCACCATTCTGGAAAATATGCTCTACCCACTCACCAGTACTCTTATACTAACAACTGTATTTTGTAAAAGCACAGTGAAAGATGTAATTACAAGTCCAGTATTTCTAGTTTGAGAGTTATAGCACAAAAAAAATCTTGTGCACATAAGATGACTTTAGTAATTTTTTTAAACAGCACAGTTACACCACCTTAACATTTTTTGCATATGTTTCCTATTTATTCTTTAGATTTTGATTATTTTGTTGGTACCTACCATAGCAGTCATCATTCATGTTTGAATTCCTATGCACTTCTAGAAGTTTTTAGCCATCACTTCCCTCTCAGTGGGTGTCCTCAGCTAATTATGTACTCCTTCTGCTTTTATTATATGGGATCAGATTATTTTCACTCTCATCTGAATCTTCCATTGGACACCTAAAGGAAACTCACTAAGAGAAGATGTTGCCTCTCCCTAGACACCACACTTCTTTTGTGCCATTTTAACTCCATAAAAAAAAGAAAAGAAATCAGTGTTGCAGTGAAAGAACAGACACTTCAGAACAGAAGTCACTGCACTATGTGATGTGATCATAGTACAGATAATCCATAAATGGATTGTTTTCCTTGGTTTAACAAAACCCTGATGAACTGGAGAAGTCTGACCTCCATTCAAGATCAGACAATATTTACTTCTAGTGAAATTAATTATTTCTACTTTCAAACAATCTTGTCAATATTGCTCTTTGCCAACATGTTGGAATTCATCATCTCCTTTTTTTTTACTCCTTGCCCTACCATTTGGTAAACCTGTAATTTTAACTTAACAGAAAAAGAGTATCTGGAATATTATTTTAAAAATAATAGTCATTTTATCAGCAGGTGAAAATCACTGCTGGTTCCTTAAAATTGAACTATCCTTTTGTCAAGTTACAAGAGCTTCCAAAACTATAAAAACTGTAAATATCTCAGCCCATGTCTAAAACAGCCAGGGGCCACATTTCCCTGGTGAGGGCATATGACAGAAAGTCTCCATTCACCATAGTATATACAGCATAAAAACTCATACCAGGTCAAGCCAACCTCCCCTGTTCCACACATGAGCCTAAGCAGTAGAGGACACATTTACAGGAAGCTGTGGATATAGACAAGACACAATAACGACCTCCAAGGGTACTTCCCATCCTCTTTTATGCCCAAGTGAGTATTTCTGCATTCCCTGAGTTTGTCACCAAGCAGATCAACCTTGGTAGAGTCTATTCAATAGCTGAAATCTAATCACCAGGCCTTGCTATGTCCCCCTGGAGAGTAGGATGCTTGTGTCCAGTTTAGGTTTAAAAAAATTGAAATCCTTACTTTAGGATGGCTCAATATTCATTGCAGTGAATTAGGAGTTTGATCTCAGTTGCCAGATCTGCCCTTTTCTCCCATCCTCATCTCCATAGCTGTATTTCATCTTCCCCAGTTTCTTTCCCAAATCTGTGGACTTCTCATTACTGTAGGGTTTGCCAGTGTCTCACAAGGGATGGTTTCGTGCCCAAGTACTCCCATGTAGCTGGCTCAGGCAATGATATCAGAGCACTGAAGGTAATATTCTCCACTCTGGGTGTCTCTGGGGTAGCCATTCTAGCACATATGCTGCCTCTGTGAATGGCTTGTGCAGCTATGCTCAAATCTTGATTTCCTATCCTTACCTTTCGTTAGTGGGTCCCTGGAGAGGAAAGCAGCCACACTTCCCTGCCACCTGCTCTTTGTTCCTGGAGGCTCATTTCACTTCAGGAAACTATCCCGTGCCAATTCCCCACAGGCAATGTCTCAGTTCAGCCCTATGCTCTTAGTCCACATGGGCTATCTGTGAGAACAAGCTTTCAGCCTCTCTGGGACAGGAAAAGTTTTCTCAGCAATTTCACAGCTGCATATATACTTTAGAGTGCTCTACAAATACAGCTCTAAATCTCAGCATTTAAGAGAGATGGTAGAGCATGTATTACAAGAAGTAACACAAGGGCATGATAGCAGAGCTGCTGCTATTCATTCACAGAGCAGAGAGTTGGGTGGCTCTCACACCTGAGCTGCAAAACTGCTCCTCATCTCAATCAAGCTTTGAATGCCTTTTTATTTTCATAACTAAATTGTTCCACTGTGTTCCTCCTTTTGCATTTTCACTGTGTCCCTCAAGAGGCAAACCTCCCCATGGGAGTGCTTACAGGAATGCACAGCACATGGGGCAAAAACCGTAAGCCTGTTGAGCTCAAGCTTTATCAAAGACCAAAAAGCTACCTTGACAAAGCTGTTCTATGGCAATTTCTAAAGTAGTTTCCTGGGTAGTTTCTTTAGCTACTCTAAGCATAAACAGGCATCTCAGATGGGACTTAAACCCACCTCTTATTTTTCCAAGGAATTTGGATTTTGTGGTTGTTTATGCTCCTTCTTACCCTGCTCCAGCAACTAAGCCAATTCTTGTAGTCATTCTCCAGCGTTCTTGGCACTCAAACAGCCCAGATGCCAAGCTCTGAATTCTCATTTTCTTCCCCTGCCTACTATAGCAGCAACATCTGCGCCTGTGGTTACTTCCTGGCTGGCCTCTTATCAAGGCTTCTTCTCCGACTTTGTGGCTGGCTCCAGTGCTGTTTGTGATGACAGCTGTTGCACTGGTGCAGAACCAGCCATCTGGTGACCGACTTGTCCTCTTGGACACTATTTTCCTCCAGCTGTCAGGAATTTACTGTTGGACTGGAAATAATTTGGTATGTAAATACATACTTCGTGATATCCAAGTTATTACTTTCATGGGCAATTCAGTGGTCCCATCACAATTCCCTTATCTGAGTGCAACCACAGCCACCTCTCTTCCCTCAGTATGGGGAGGGGGTGGGTATGATCACTCAAGCCCAATAAACTTTTCAATAGTTCCAGGCCCACAAGTATGCTCTTTTGGCCCTTTAGATTTAATAAACCCTCCCCAGCATGCCCATGCTTGTGTACTCCAGCAATGGCAATACAGTTCACCCCAGACTGCTCCTTTTCTGAACTCTAAAGAGATTTTCACTATTTACCTCATGCTGCTATCAGTCATTCCTGGCTGGCCTGTCCCAGAGGCATGCTGCTGACAGTGGCTGCTTGCTCCCTCTGAGCATCATGCCTCTGGTCTGCAGCCTCCTTACCACTGCCTCCCGGATCCATAGTGACAGCCAAGGGCCTTGTTAATGTCCCTTTTCCCCCAGGCAGATAGAAAAACAGAGGGTCTGCTGCTCAAGAATGCATGTTGCATTTAATCTTTTTTCCCCGGTGCATAATTTCTTTTATTGGACTAAAAATTTACAAATTTGTGATAGCATGTGTTTTCTAGCTATGGCTCCTTAAGACTGTTAACCTAACAATTATCCTGCTAGCTATAGTTGTAGAATCTTTTTCTATTCACATCTCTAATCTGACATTTAATCATCTCATTTGCTCCATTAAGACTTGATGTAAGTAAGTCCAGAAAATTATTTTTAGGTGTTTTCTCACATTGGGATTCTAATGTGATTCTTTATCCATCAGTGGTACAATCGAGCTATTCCATTCTACAGCAGAAAAAAATTCAATCTTCTAAATACAAACATAAGCAGGCACATTATTCCATTCTGCTTCGTAGTGGAAGCAATTTTCCTCAAGATATCCTGGTGATGTTTTCTCTGATACCTAACACTTCATAAAGGTGAGCTTTTTGTTTTGAGGGACTTAGATTTTAACTGACTTTTGGGGAATGCAGAGTTCATTCAGTACATGTAGAGCAGGACAGCAATAATTCACAATCAAAAGTTAATTTGCAGGTCAGGAATTGCTATATAAATTTAAATTTATTTCAACTTCATTCCCCTGAGGCAATAGCTTTATTCACCACCACCAAATGTTTTCCTGGTGGAGCTGCAGAAAATTATTTCCACCCTGCAACTACTAGGAGAAAATTAAAGAAAGATGCACAAAAGTGAAGAATGTAAGAATGCCATTGTGGATGCTTGCATTTCAAGAAAAAAAGGACAACAAAAATTGAACTATTAAACTCTCCATTTAATGTAAAAAAGCATACCTTTCCCCACAGGAGTATAGCAGGATTTACTGTGGTTTTACAAGCTCCATTTCACCTCTTTCTAAGGAGAGGAATTAATTTTTCAGCCAAATAGCCTGTTCCCTTCTCCACACCCTCTCCAAACGCATGGCTGAGTTCTCAGCAGCAGCACAGAGCTCCTGCAGCCTCCTCAGTCATTGCTATAATTCAGGCAATCCCCAAAGCTAATACAGAGCATGCTGCAGCCCAACCCTGCTGCACCCCTCTTGTGCCAGTGTCCACTGCTTCTGCCACACAGAGCTGATAATTGTCCAGCCTGTGCCAAGGAAGTTCAGCCTTGATGGACTCACAGCTCTTTGACTAATGCCCTACACTTTTAGCATGGTGTCAGAAAGGCTCCAAGGGTGTAAGTTCTCCACAGTTAGTAAGAGACAGATAGCAGCAGAACAAGAACGCTTGCTACTCAGGGTGATTTTGAAGGGTTCTTTTTTGCCTCACAAGAAACCCATGAAGAGAAAATGGCAAATGGAGATAAGCTGGGACTTCATGCAGAAGTTGGGTTGAAGTGTTTTTGAGGCACAGACCATGCAAGCACACCGTCAGTTTCGAAGCCTCACCAGAAATGTGGTCTGGGCTCTGCAGGGCTCTGTTCCTTCCAGCTGGCCCTTGGCAACCTGCTTTCCTGCCTTTGTAACCCCTCTCTCCCCAGCCTCTGTGTCGTAACACACTGGTAACAATAACATTTCTGAAATCAAAATGTTTTGCAGGCCAAAAAGCTGAGCTCAATCAACGCAGGGGGAAAGCAAACCACGGAGAGCTATTGTTTCTGAAAACCATCCAAAAACTCTTGGCGCTTCAAGGCATTCCCAATGTCCTTTGCACTATTTCCAGGAAAAATGATTCCCAAGGCCTTGCATATTAAAAAAGAAATCTGGCTTATATCAATAAACATGATAACTGCTGTATTTTTTCTCTTTAATCAGAACACAGCTAGCATGTAGAAGCAGTCAGAGCTGAGTCAAATAGCCTGTTTTAAGTGTAGCATTTCAAAACTCTTATTCTTTGCTGAGGAGTGTAAATTAACTCCTGGGACTCCTGAACCTGGGCTTTGACTACATTTATGTCATGCAAATTCTTCAAGAAAATTTGTGGGCTGATGTTGGTGGAGTAAGTGGTAGATAAGGCAGAAAGGCAGTTTTTCTGACCAAAAAAAACTTATTTAACTCACTGTGCTGTGATAAAAGCAGTACCTGCACCAGTGCTTGGTCTGCAAGCCTAGAAACTGGATTGCTGGTTCTGATCTCAAATCCCAACATGCTGACATCCAACAAGTCATTCAAAGCTCATTGGGGTTGCAGGAGGAGGTTAAAGGATTTGGAGGAGATAAGAAGTCCGTCTACATTCCTGACACAGGAAATCCAATTTCAATTGAAATGTAAATGAAGTTAGACTCCACATATCTGGTCCAGAACAGTATCACAGTTAAAAACATTCAATCAGAAACAAACCATTGGCAATCACCACAGAATCACTGCTATATATTGTTTTAGTATTGTTATTGCGCAACACCAGCTGTGCGATATAGTAAGAGTATTGCACTTATAATCCAATACAGTCAAGCAAGAACTTACAGACATCCCTTATTCAGGATAATAAAATACATTGTCTCATTTTAGCTACTCAGAGGGTTGAGAAACCCTTCTACTCACTAGTTTATAGCTGTTCTTGCAGTGTTACATAGCAAAAAAAAAAAAAAAGCTTTAAATGTCCCTGTTCCTATCCACAGGGTCTCAGGTAAGTGGCTTGATGAAGAACTTATAAATGAAATCTTAGATGATCAGGTGTAATTAAGGAAAAGGAAGTAAAGTATAGTCTTTAGGATTAGCAAACGTGTTAAGAGATAAGGGACCCAAATTGTATAAGCTATATTTACCCACCGCTTGCTCCAAGAATCCTATTCTGAAGATATAAGCAAGAGTCTAGTATCCCTATAAAAACAGTGAGAAGCTTATGACTAGTTTTCAGATTTCACACCACATGCTGTCTCTACCACAGTCTCATAGAACAGCCACTTCATGGGAAGGCACTGTGTGATGAAACAGTCTTTGGGGCACGTTTCATGAAAACAGATAAATTACGGGTTAGGGAATTTTGTTTTGGGAGTTTTTTCCAAGCAATTGGTGCACTTTATGAAATTCTATCTCATGTCTCTGTCACCTCTCTACCTATTACACTTTCCAATATTTCCAGATTTCCAAAAATAAAATTAACTTTATTGCAATATTCAACATGGGTATTTTATTTTCAGAATGACTGTGAAGCCTTTTACATGCCATGGAAAATGAAAGAACAAAGATCTACTAACAAAAAAACAGTTTAATTTCCTCCAACCATGTGATTTCACAAATATTATTAAAAATACATAATCAATCCATTAGTCAGGGTCAGGGCAAAGGATTATGTCACGAGGTTAGATTTTGTTTTGTTTTAGTTTGAGTTGGGGTTTTTTGATTAACAGCTTTGCAGCTGCTCTACTTCCAAAATTTCGGCCTCAAAAACATGTGACCAAGTATTGGGAAAACCCCATTTATCTATGAAGTATCTGTGCATGGACAAGACAGGTTTCTTGATATAGCAGCTAATCCCAACATTGGCAATCCCTGTTGGTATTGCTGGGTAATGGAATTCCCATGCTTGAGGTGTTAAAGCCTTTGGGACATCTCAGTTACTGAAGCTAAGAGAATAAACTCTTTTCTGTTATTGCTTTTATAAATAAAGTCCCCAATTCAGTATTTTCATAATTTGTCTACAACAAAGTTAACACCACCTTTTTGAAGAATGACATTAAGTTGTGAGGCCACTCTGAACCAATGTAGAGCTGAAGGGCTGAAAAAAACACTCCAGCCCTTCAGGAAAGAAATGTGGTAGCTTTTTAATGACTAGGAGAAAGCTCAGTTAAGAGTAAAAGTAGATTTCACATGCATAATAAAGAGTAACAGTGACAAAACCTTGGATTTAATCTCATTTCCCTCCCTCCACTGCAGAGACCCCTGGAAAAGCCGGACGGGCTGGATGTTTCAGATCAGAGCAAAGAGCATCCCCAGCATCTGTGTGAGAAGTGCAAAGTTTTGGGCTACTACTGCCGCCGTGTGCAATAAACCTTCCAAGTGGCCTCTTCCCATCCCCATCATCCTTAAAGATTCTCTGGCAGCATGCGATCCACAGCAACACAACAAATCAAGATAAAAGCTAAAATAATTGCCAATATTGCCTATCTAATAATATGCCTTACTATTAATAGAATGTAACATTTCTCCTGTGCATGTGCACACGTGCAGCAGGTATTTACGGGACTATGATTTGTATACATATATATGTAAATGTATATATATATATGTACACACACATATATAAAGTGTTATTGATGGTGTTCACAACAGAACTACAGTTACAGGTTCTGCTGATTGTTTACACAGACCCTCTATCACAGCCAGGTGAAATGAAGTACTATTCAAAAGGCAAGGTATAATATTCACAAGGAATATATGTTTTACGTATGGCTTTTGCAGAGGTTCAATAACTGTGGGGCCACTAATTCCAAGCACTCGCCCACAACATCAACATTGTTCTTATTATATGACAAGACAAAGGAAGATGAAACAAGCCACAGCATAAAAGGAGAATTATTGTTTTCCCAGTTTTAGAAAGTCTTAGAATTTTGTGCTGTTGTTTTCTTGGACTTTTTCTAGTTGTTACCATCTCTTGGGCAAGGCTTAGGCAAAATCATTTTTGCAGAACATGGCAAAAAAAGTGAATAATTGTTTGAGGGTGTGAGTTTGGTAGAAAGGGAATACCATAATGGGACCCAGAGCATTGGGAAGGATTCCAAGAGGTTTTTGGAGGAGAAGAAATTGGCTTGCTTGTGCAACAGATCCTTCTCTTGTCATATAATCCCACTGAAATGGTCCCTGTGTGCGCATGGCTTGTTCATTAGGCCACAAACAGACTAAATTTTCTATGAACAAGGGGATAAGAATACTTAAAACTGTCTCTAAAACCCTTAATTGAAAGATTAGCCAAACTTACTATTTATAGTAGTTTTAAAGCCACTTTTTGGAAATATTTTTTCCTGTTTACTACCATAGAAATTTGTTATAATACGAAACTTGTTAGCCATAGGGGTGTTTTGAGGCATGGAAAAACTGTATAACCCTCCCTCCTTCTGTCTTCCTGAAGCACCTACACAGCTGAGGAGAAACGTAGGAGTTATATTTTGTTGTCCCATTTCGGGTAGAACCTTGTGCAGGGGCATTCTGCTGCAAAGAAGGATCTCATCAGGGATTGGCAAATATGAACTGAATGTACCTCGAGACAGTATCCTCTTTGTATGTCTACAGAAGAGTACATTGGCAGAAGGACACAACAAGCAATTCATTTGTAGCATTCACTAAAAAATTACAGGGATAATGTTTGTTTGAGATTGGGGGTTCTTTTGCATCAACAATTTCTATTTTTATGAAGTTTCCTTTAGAGAGATTGATTTGTGTGAGTGATACTTAGAGAAAATAATTTAAATCCTAAACAACTTGATGTGAACTAAATTTGTTCTGAGGACTAATTCCATAATGCAAAGACAGAGGGGAGTTTATGCCAAGTGATAGCTTGTGTCCAGTCAAGCTCTTATAAAGCAAGTTGAAAACTTACTGCAAGCATTCATATAGGAAATGGGAAGCTCTTTACAAATTTGCTCTAGGGTGAAACTCTGGCCATTTCCCTGCTTTGCTATAAGCAGGGCAGAATTGCATCTGCTTATTGTGGTGGGAGTGGCACATGCATATCTTGCAAATTCATAATTAATGGGTAGGCCAGGCAACCCAGCCTACTGATCATAACATGGAGCAATGGATAAGCGTTCTGACCCCCGGCTTCTGACCACAGCTCTTCCATTAGCTCCCTGATTTTGGGCAAGTCACAAGATCTTTCTGGACCTCAGTTTCCCCAGCTGCAAAATGGGGATAATAATACTTCAGTATACCTACCTCACAGGAGAGTTGTGAGGTTTACTTAATATCTCTAAGTATTTTGGCATCACTGGATGAAAAGTGCTATGTAATGCTAAAATAGTATTAACTAAATTAATTACTTGGAAACTACTTTTGCCCAGTTGGCAATTCCGTCAACTAAAATAGCTGCAAATTACATTATTGAAAGTAACACTAATAAACAGTTTAGTTGCCTCAGTGAAGACATGCAGTTTTAGCATTTTCAAATGCAAACGCATTCTTTTGCACAGATTCACAAATTACCTTAGAGACAAATTCTCTCAACAAAGATACTAATCTGTCTATACAAATAAGAATAAGAAAATACACAAGCAAATCTAGGGGTGGATTTTCTAAGCTTGACCTCTAGGATTAATCTCAATAGTTTGTTTCAAGCATGAGTAATTTTGAAAGAGCAGCATTCTAAACCAGATCTATTTTTCCTCTTGAGCACTTAATAGTACATGAACAAAAAAAGAAAAAATAAATCATCTTGATGATTCACATCCAGCTAAAGGATGTGTAGAGAAACCCCCTTAGATGAAGATAAGGGGAAATGTTATTTTTTTTTCTCCTTGAAACTAAGATGTTGCTATCAAATGTTTTGTTCTGTATTGAAATAGTTTCCATGTTATGATAACCACTAGATCAGTAAAATAGCACAACCCTTGATATAGCTGTATCAACGTATCGCACACCACCAGGTTGGACAAAAAGCTGACTAAAGATACCATTATAAGCAAGTGCTGGTATTTTCATGACAGTGCCCTGTTAAAAATTTTTTATCCACATTCAACACTGCAAGGCAATGCCTTAAGCTTATGGATTTTTAGATTCTACTAAAAATACACGTGATCTACTTTAACACAATTAATGCCTATAGGTGTAGCATAATAACTCTTAAGAGCATAGTTACAAGAGTTCAGTATTTATATCACTGATACGTTCTTAGTCAGAAGACATATAAAGTATTTAAGTAATACTTAGCATATCTGTAATAAAGAGGAGAACAGACTTTCCCCTGCACTAACGTTGGGGAGAAGTAAATAAGGAACAGAGTGTGAGGAAGAGCAAAAGCAACACTGCCGTAGTTTGTACTGCCTAAGTCAGAGACTGTGGATCCCTCCTGGAGCGGGGTGCAGATGTGATCAGGCCTTGGGCACCCCCCTGCACAGGGCTGAAACCTCTCTCCCTGCCAAGCTGGTGCCTGGGAAAGGCAGGAGCACCAAGCTTATGCGAGGGGAGCATTCCTCTGTCCCTCCCTGCATGAGGTTTGCTCATAGGATTGCAGCACTGGGCCCGGGGCATTTGCTCCACACTCAAGTCTGTGTAGTTTGTGAGTTGCTGGAAAAATACATCTGCATAAGTCATGTATGACAGCTTATGACCTATTGGCTTTTAGCTCATGGCACAGAAGGGACATTTCTGAATTTTCTGAATTTCAAAGGGAAAAAGAATTGGTTACAAAATGTAGATCTCTTCTATTCCCTCCCTCCCTTCAAAGGTAATTCACCTATAGATGTAACTAACTTTCCAAAACTTAAAAATTCAGATTTTTGACAGGAAAAAAAAAGGAGTTGATTTCTCTTAAGTTTTTGTGAATGCTTCCTGATGTTCTCTTTAACTAGCTCTACATTTAGAACATCAGCTAGCAATCCTTGAAGGCATTTGTAGACAGTCTTAGCAGAGGTGAAGCAAGCATCAGTAAAGAACTTTAAACCAAAACAGGCCTCCCTAAATTGCATATTCTTTAGGGATGTACCTGAGAGCAGTCTGGTTCTATGCATTTATTTGGCAAACTGGATTTTTAACCTCAGATGCTTGCTGTTGACAGCGTACCAATCCATCCAGCATGCACTTTTTTTTTTTAAATTTCACCCCTTTTTAGAGATTTTTTTCAACTTTCATTTATTTCTTTAAAAAAAAAAGAAAAAAGAAAAAAGAGACAAAGAAACAAAATGACAATTTGTTTCATGAGTTGGTCAGAACATTTCACATTGAATTGTCCTTGGCATTGGCACTGCTCTGGAGAAAAGTACCAGTAATTTGAAATGTGTGTTGTAGGTTAGCTGCTTTAACTTGATGAGGCTCCAATGAAGTTGTTACAAATACTTCATTCAATGGTCATAAAGAAAAATTCCTGTAGTTTAAAGGATGGGCCCATTTTAGCCAGTTTCTACTGCTGCTACCACAGACAGCCACACAATGATGCCACACAAGCAAAGTTTGAGGCCTTTTTGTCTCAAAGTTGCTTTTTGATTTCAGATAAATACACAAGAGTATATATTATTTCTGAAAATAGGTGTATTTTGAAGTTCCCCATTATATGGGACTTAGTTTTTAAACTAAAAATGTGAAGTTACGTGTGTCTGAGAGAAGCCTTATACCTAGAAGTATTATCTACGTTTTACCTTTTTGTATAACGTGAAATTTAGATTATACATGGGTTACATACTGTGACACTCTAGTTTGGTTTTTTTTTAAAAAAAACCTACTTAAAAGATCAAAAGTTAACAGCTTCTGGAAATGTCAGACTTCCTAGATTAGTGCTCTTAGTCCTGAAGTCACGCAGAAGATTTTTTTTTTCCTAGTATGGATCCTGAGAGTTGTCTACTGAACAGTATGAAATAAATCATCAACACGTGTTTTTCAAGTTAAGTAGATTGACATATATTTTCCACTTGCCTTTGCCAACATACTTTAAAATGAGATGGAACTATCCCCATACAAAAATCATTCTTTCAGATATCACTCCGCTCCCAACTGGGCTTCAACCCCTATCTCCTTCCTATCTGCAAAACCAGTGCTGTCCACTCAGTTTGTTGTATCACTCAAGTGCTCAGAGGGCTGTTTGAGATCTTAGATATAGGGATGATGGATTGTGTTTCTAGGATGAATTTCAAAGGGACAATCGTGTGCAGTTACTAGCTATAGATGATTGATATAAATGTTTACCCCTGTATGAAGTATTTTACAGTTTTACTTGCAGATGTGTATTTATCTTGAGTTATACTTGACATAGAGTTTCTTTCAATTTTTTTTTTTAATCCTATGTGTGTATTTTGGAAACCTTTTTAGATGTTAAAATTTTTGAATGGTTACAAATATTTCTTATAATACTGAATTGTTATCTTATCTGGAAACTCTTTGCAGTAACTTTTTTGTATATATTTGAGGGCCTTTTTAAAAAAGTATTGTTTGTTTTTTGGGCAAAGTTTTTAAAATTTGGAAGCTTTCAGAAGGGCCTTTCTCTCAACTAGGATACTAACAGAGGTAAGAGTTTTCTTAAATATTTTGCAGTATTTTGCAGAACTAAGGATGTATCCTCAAGAAAATATTTATGGAAATAATTTACTTTTTTTTTTTACAATGCTTTTGTCTGTATAAAGTATGCAACAGAACTACATTAAGAAGGAAATATTGTCTACATAAAATATTATATGAAAGTTGGTACATAATTCTGACAAAAAAACCTTGCAATTCTTTAAGCCATATTGTTTTTGTTATCCTTGGATGAAAATATCAGTATTAAGTAACCAGTATATTATTCAAGTGCTTAGACTTATATGAAAATGCTTATACAGTTTATTTATGTATTTGGGGAAGGATTGCTAGAAGAGCTATCACTAGACATGTAGCAAGTGAGGAGCAAATAACAGTAAACTGTCACTTTATGGCCTTGTGAGAGACACAAAAAACACTGAAAGCACCGTAGAGACACGGCTTTCAGAAACTCCGAAGCACAAGTGTTGGGTTTCAAATGGTGGTTCTTTCCTTCCCCATAACCAGAGGGGAAGAAAGTTGGTTGGGACACTGTTTAACTTGACTTTCACAACTCTTTGCAAACTGTGAGCTCAGCTATGCAGTATCGGCTACAGCAATAATATCAATCAAAGGGTATAAGAAGAAAAAGATTGAAGTAGATTATTGTAGGGGTTTATGTTTATTTTAATTAGAACTCATAGCAATATAGAATATGCATGTGCACGTATTCAAAGCATTTTACACTTTACATTTCATGTAGTTTGATTATATTATGAAGGATTGAGTTTTTAGTTTGATATTTTACCATGCTAAAATGGGAGGTCTGCCCAACCCTGTACTGGATTCTTGTTTTCTTTAAAAGGTTATTTAGTACAGCACTCACTGCATTGTCTAATAGTGCTAAAACTAACACTATCTTATGAATTTCTTCAGCTTTAAAAAAATTAACCTAATGATTATTACATTTGTTTAGCTGTACCCACTGACCTTGTCAGATTCAGTTGGCAACTTGTGTAATTTCTTTTTCTGTAACTGTTAATAAACTTGTACAGCTAAAACAAACAAACAAAACCAATGGACAAAGGCCTCAGAGGTACCAGTTCTGCTTCAGCAATCAAGATGACAGCTTGCTCATCTGGTGACTGTGTTGCTAAAGAGACTGTAAAACCTCTGTTGTGGATTGTCCATTAAATGGCATTCCGACATGTGCCTTATTTGCTGGATAGTATACAGCTTTCTTCTAGTATTCTAGCAGTTTAATGCTGTATTAAAAGTACTGCAAAAAAATCAGCAAGTGTGGTATGGTTTTCTTGAATGTCCCTTCCTTCAACATTTTAGTACCAGCTGCACTGGGTTCCTAGTTATGGACTGGCAGCCACAGTCTGGTGCTTGCAGTGCAAACCTGCCCCGGCATAACCATGACCCAGACCATGGGGAGAGGAGTTTCTCCACTGCAGGGAGTCCCTGTGCTGCAACAAGCCTGGTCCCATCCAGGGTGAGGGCTCTTCACTGCCAGTGGGACAGCTTGGGTTAATGGTGCCAGCTCTTAGTTTTTAGCAGCCTGGTGTTGTCTAGCATTATTCTTAAGGAAAACCTTCTATAATCAAAGTACACCTGTAGCCTCTAGTTGGATAGGAAAGCTTAGGTGCCAGAAAGTTGCTATAATGAAAAATAACATTCATCATTCTTGGTGAACAGCACAAGTTGGCAAGAACTAGACCTATTGAATGCTTGTTGCTTATTAGCAATGCTCTTCTCACGTCCCTAGTCGAAGTTCAGTGACAAGCAGTTTTTCTACTGAGACTGCTAATACTGTAGCTCTTGAAAGTTAAAATAAGGGTGTCATGAAATTAACTTTGGAATTTAGGTATCCTGCCTCTAACATAAGAAATCCCCTTCATTTAAAACAAGCAGAAAATTTTTACTAGACACACCAGCACACAGTTCTTCTATGCCTGATCATCCCTCCAAACACTTCATATTTGCACCTTGAAGGTCATTTACTACACCATTTGTATCACATAGCACACCTGATTTCTGGGAAGGTTTGAGTCCTCTTCTCATTCAGTCCACATGAGAGAGAGCAAAAACACATCCACGTGTTTGTTCATGGGTATGCAATGCTGGGGGAAGAGGTTGGCAAGGAATTGTACAGTTCTGAAGCCCCGAAAACAGTGACTATTTCATCAAATGATCAAAGACATCCCCCAGCTGAGCCCCATGGAAAGGGAAAGCACATATTCAGAGCTAGTTGGTAAATTTTTGTTTGAAAAACAAAACATACTGCTGCTCACTATAAAGCTTGTCTCTAGCACTGTTCCCATAGCATACACAAGCCACAAAGCCAAGCTCAGAACTGAAATGCATCTTTCCATCAGAAGCCTTGGGGGCTCCCCCAACACCAGGGCCTCAGATTCAGCACTCAACTGAGACAAGAACAAATGCTGAGTGGAACAACTGCAAAGTCCTAGCTCCCTATTACCACATTTTCTACAATTCCTCAAAGAAATAACTTTTTCATATTTAAATCAAGAATAGATTAACACAAACAATATGGCTTAACAAAAATGGCCAAACTACTCTTCCCTCATTTTTCAATGCCAAGGGCTTTGCCTTCCTGCTCTGTGTGAATGAGGTCAAGAGACAATGCAACAACCCACTTGTAATAGAAGGGCCAAATAATTCCCACTTAAGAAAAATAATAGGGCTTTCATAACAGGAATTTCACATAACATTAATTCTTTGAAATAAAAAGCTGTTTCATTATTCTTCATGGAAAACCAATTTAAACAGCACACCAAGGTTACCATTTTTCAAGTTAGTTACATCATACCAAACCCCCAGTCTCAGATCTGATGAGTTATATTAGCAGGTATTATTAGTATATTAGCAGGTGTGCAAACTGGACCTTACATCCCAATGATGAATGACAAACTGACATAATCTGAATAACACTTGCATAATCTCACTCAGGGCTTCCATACACCAATTATTCACTGCCCTATATCACAGTCAAATGTTAAAAAGGCTCCTCCTTTCTCCACACCCCTATGAAAAAGTCTGTACACAAGAGCCATGGGCAAGAGAAGAAGGAACCTAAAACACAATGGGTTGAAGATGACAGTCGGGTCTTTCCACTAAGAACCAGAAAAACAAGAACTAAATAAATTCTTAACTGAAACATGTAGAATCCTTACTTCTGAGAAACATATAGTATGTAGTTTGTGATCCTGAAAAAACAATGCAACATTCAGCTTTGCTTTCTCTAGTAATCACCTTCTAATCTTTGGCAAGCAGATCATTTGGCAGCTCCTGTGTGGGTAACACCAGCTATCCTACCCACACCTACTCACTGAGCACACTTTTGTTTTACGGAAAGTAATGCAATTCCTCTTCCTCGCCACCTGTATCTCAAATACACTTCAGATAGCAACCAAACCCAGAAAACTGTTCACGAGACAGCCTACCAAACCTGCAAAACCTCACTCAAACAACACAGATCACACAGAATGTACCTCTCACAAACCCGTGGCAAACATCATGAGATGTTTTTAACAACTGAACGTGCCAAGAAAGACCTACCTCAGTCAACATTTATCGTGCCCTTGTCCAAAGGGCCAAAACCAAAGGGGAGGCAGTCGCATTCATGAAGTGTTGGAGCATCCCTGCCGTGCAGCCCGGGGTAGCAGAGAGAGCAAACACTGCTCTGCAAGAGAAAGGAGCACCATCAGCCAGGCCTGTTTAAAACACTGCCCAGGCACACAGCTGTGAGGCCAATGGGACCAGAAGCAGCAGTAACTCTGGGCATTCTTCAGAGACTTTTGCTTCTATGTCATGAACTTAGCTAAATAAAAATACAGTAATCACTTTTTTGCCCTTTTTTTTTTTTGGTAAGAGGTAAAAATGGAGTTTGTATGCCCAGTTAACCCAACCAAATTCCATGCCAACAGGGAAATCAAATTATAGCCAAGAACTTTATGTGTGTTTTAAGTGGAGTAGGGTGTAAGCCAAAGATTTCCTTTCAATTTCTACTCTAGCCTTTTCACCAGCTGAGTACAGAGAAAGCAAAAATACTGTAAGAAAGCTTTCTCTTACACAATTTCTGAACACATCTAAGCAGCAGGTACTGGAAATCTAATTCCAGTCAGCTTTCCACAAAGTTTCCTTACAGTTCTGCAACATAAGAAGGTACAGCTCAAAGGACTTCCAAGGAATCAGACATACATAAGCTCTGCTTGATTTCAAGCAGCAAACCTTGAAGGAATAATGCAGGAAAACACTGCAGAAGTAACAGGAAGCAAGACTTGAAAACCCACTGCTTGCAACCAATGATAAACAGACAAATACAAGAGGTATAGGAAAAAAATACCTTTGTTGAGTACCATCAGGTAGAAGATCAGAGCTGACACTCACAGCCCCTAGAAAGGGCCTCCTTTCCCTCCACCTCACTTATATTGGCTACTTGCCCTGATTGCTGAGGGCTCCATCTGTGCTGGCCAGCTGTGTCTGGGGGTGGGGAGGGGATGGAGGGAATTGGGGGTGGGCACCAGCTCCTTCCCAGGTGCAGGGACTTCCTGCCTGGCTATGCCTGCTGCAGCACAAACCCAAGCAGCCCCTCCAACAGGGTCACAAGAAAAAAGAGCAAAGACATCAATGCCACCAACAGGAATTCTAACTGGCTGCTGGAAGGGGAGGGACAGTACAAATTCACATCTAGGAGAGCCAAACAACTCTCATTTTAATGTTCACAGTAACTGAAATAGCAACACAGCTAAGTATTTAGCAGCTGTAGAAATTTCACCAAGGAATATACAAAGTAAGCTTCGCTGGACTGAAACTTGAATCACACACATTGTAATGAACCAATTAAAACTGCTTTCCAACATATCCTACTAAAGTTTCTGAATGTCTTGGATAATTTCTGAATACACAGTAGTTGCACATAGCAACTATTACCTTGCCCAGCTACTAAGGTGTGGTTACTTCTTTGGATATTTGGCTACCCCATGTGTTTGCATTACTTTAATTAAACTGAAGTAAAAGTGACTGAGTTAAATAAAGACAACCAGTACCCACTCACACCAACATCTGAAGGAGTGAAACCAGCTTTATTTGAGTTAGTCTTCTGCAGGGTGGTGGACAACAATTCACTGATTCAGAAATAGCAAAAGCAAAACCAAACACAAGTAGTGGCTGACAAAGTCCCTGATGTTCGGTGAAAGACATCCCAAATGGTGCACACTAAATAACAGATTTTTAAATTAGCTGGTAGTAGTCAGGAATAAGTGCATGATATTATTTTGGTTTGTTCAACTTAATGTCATAATCATTTAAAAAAGAGTAGACAAACAGAGGATTTTGAAGTAGGGACAAGAAACTAAAGAGAGAACATCGTTATATGAATCTTATCACTTTAAAAGGACAAGAAGTCAAAAAATTCTGGAATGATGAAAGAAAAGAATTTTTTTCCCTGTGAAAAGAGACTGTGCACTGGGCCTCCATCTCCTGGAAAAGAGATCACTGAGGGTGGATGTGATAGTGTCCTATAACATAATAAATGACACAAATAAGGGAAGAAATATTAATTGCTTCTACAGTGCCTTCCTTCTAGAGTAAGGGAATTTTTGATAAAATTTTCTGAGGTAACATAATCAAAACAAAAATGTCCAACAGCAGACTGAAATACATAGTCATGGGATATTCTAGCTGTTAGAAGGATAAATGAGATCACAACCAATTACAAAACCACATTTAAAAAAAAAATTAAAAATGCTGCAGGGGTTATTAACCAGGAAGCTGTGACCCTGGCTCAGGAAGTCCCTAAGCACAGAAGCAGCCAGCAGTGAGGTATGACACCAACAGAAGGCTGACTGCCTGTGTTTCCTATCTTTTCCCTCACTAAACTGTTGTAGGAAAGAAGATATTAGAGCAGGTGCTGGTCTGATTGTTGTCCTGGCCCTAAGGACTACTTTTTGTGTGGCAGTAGGAGCTGCAATATGTGAATGTAAGCTACTTCTAGCTCTCTGTGTAAGGCAACACTTGCGTGTCACCCAACAGGTACCTGGTGGCTTCCAGGGCAGACTCACACAGACATGCCCAGGGAAATACTCATTAATTCCCCAGCATTTGTGCTTTGGAAGAAGACCTTGTGACTCACCTACACTCACACTTGGTTGTTGACAGGAAACTAATTGAAACTCTACCATAATTTGTAGTCTACAACTGAGTATTGCACTATGGTAGCTGGTTTTTTGGGTTTGGTTTTTGTTTTTTTTTTTCAAAATTCATTG